GTATTCTGCCTGGTGGGCAGCAGTCCACAGGGCTGGGAAGAGTCGGACAGGACTTAAGCAACTTAGCGTGGACACAGGTGTTTATGTAAAATGCAAATGTTGCATATTACAAATATGTACATAATACATGTGTATTAAATTGTACTATATATTAAAATATGTGTATTATTATGTATTAAAATGCAGATGTAAATATGTGTTCAAGCATACAAAATACGTATAAGACACATATGCGAACCAAGCACTTGCTTCAAATGGTAACTTTGGATAATGTGGAATTTCTGTATGCGTGTCAGCACTGGCATTCTTCCAGAGCCTTACTTCTGTAGCCCCATTTGAAACACTTACTGGATGTTTTTGCTCGTTATAAGAGTGATACGTGGACTTGATTTTAAAAATTTGGAAAAGGGCAGTATAGAGAAGAAGATATCCCTCCTGTCCACTCTCTCCTGAATCAGGATTCTGGCGCTGAGAGCACGTCCTTCTGGTTCTTTTCTTGCAACAACCAGTTTAAACCTTTAGTTCAGCGCCTCTGTTTTCCATTCCTCATGGTATCCTGTCTTCTCTCGGTCGCAAGCTTTGCCTAAATTGCTGTCTTAGAAAAATCCAGAACGCTTAAGAGAAGGGACATGGGGCAAAGAGAGGCACAGATAATTCAGAAAAGCAACTGCAAAATTAAGAGCATGATTTTTGCTGTGTGATCCTTCAGTTGTACCCCCTCTAGCCCCATAAGACCCTTCTGCCTACGCTGCACCTTCTCTCCACCTGGGATGAAATGGAAGGGAACTGATCACCCTCAGTGGAAATGCTCAGGGTCAAATTATATACTCTTATGGTAAAGAGAGGGGAGTGGGCAGTGGCGGGGCTGTGGCTTTAACAATTCCTAGGCAGGCTTTCGTGCTGGCCAACTAGCTTGCATCATGATAATACAATTTTGTATGTTAAACAGCAGATGTCAGATAGAAGAAAGAGACGGGTCTTTGCTTTTCTTCTCCTGTGGACCCTGCTCCCCCAAAGCAGCCATTTTTTCAGTTGCCATGACAGTGGTGATAGGAGTTTATCATTTTCCCATGCCTGCTGCATGCTAATGCAGAATCAACTCGCAAATGTTATCTGGTTAGGGAAGCAAGAGTCCAGACCGCAGTTAGCCGTTGTGCTGCAGAGATGGACGCCGCCATTGCCTTTTCGCTCTCCCCACAGTCCTCAGCTCCTGTTTCGGGGGGCAGTTTCTGTAAAGCAGAAGTTTTGATTTGCCCGACTATTAATATAGCATTCGCGATCAGCCTCAGGACTCCTGATGCTGTGTGCACCCATTGACAAAACAGATTAGTCATTGCTTTTCGTGAAAAGAAGCCATAAAGGACAAAGATCATCTAGATAGTAACCATAAGTAATATCTATAAATCAAATATGTATATTCAACAGACAACAGTTCTACTCTTTCTTCCTGAATACTAATCTCACTTTCAAAGCATCAGGCCCATTCACACACTAGGTAGGAGACAGCTCTTTTGAGACCCAGCAAAATGGAGAAAATCATAATATTTTTATAAGGAGAGCACCTTCCTTCAATAAACAAAGATGGTGTTGAAATTAAGAAATAGTAACATTTGGAATGACTCCTTCTGAGAATGAAGGAAATTTATTCTGATAAAATGGACAGAAAGAAAAAAAAAATGAAAAAGTCGTCATTAAACCCAGATGATGGGTACACAGATGTCCCTTATATTATTCTTGGTACTTCTCTGTGTTTGAAATGTTCTCCAGTTTCTGAAAATTTTATGAATCAGCCTTTCTGTTTGGCTTTTAATTGTGTTAATTAACAGTGTTTAAGTCACAGCCCAATGGGGAAAAGAGAGAAAAAAGAAGCAACAAAGTAACGTGGCAGAAGCAAAATTAAAGCCCAAAGTGATTTACAGCATACTTACATTTCCCCCTTAATTTCTAACAGAATGTGGTGGTGGCTGTCAGCTAATGTTTGCTTTTTTTTTTCCTTCCTAATCCCTTAAAAAAAAAAAATTCTTGCATCAATAGACCACTAAAATGATTGCTTCAATTGTTGGTTAGAGTTTATTCTCCGGAATTGAAAAACCAGTTGCTTTTATATGCATTGTCCGCCTTATTTTTTAGGCATCTGGCACATTTTATTCCTTTTTTGTTATTTTGAGTTGTTCTTTTATCATTATCTGCAGGAAGCAGCATTAGCATGCCCGAGATAAGACGAGGGATCCAGATGTGCATATCAAAGGATGAACAGCTACTTATTAAGAAAAACTTTTCTTTTTAAGCCCAGCTTCTGTTCAAAGGCATAATAAAGCCTATGGCGTTAGTGACAAACTGGAAATTCAATGCCTTGTCACCGCCAAGCATCCGAATGGGGGGAAGAAAAAAGGTCAAAGAAATTGGTAAGGTCCTCACTTTAGAATTCTGAAAAGACAGAACTGGTAAAAGTTCATCTTCTCCAGACGTATGCATTTATACCCTGCTGTGTTTATTCACTGTTTTCTGGGGGAAATGAATGAGCCACACATGGGCTGGCTGGCTGTTTCGATTGAGGATGAATTTTAAATCACCAGGTTATTTTATAGAAGAGTGAAATATGTTGATGGTGAAAGCATCTGACTTTAATGTCATCGGCCGGCATGTGCTTCTGCGGCAGTGAGAACACTCGTAGGCACACAGGAGGCGTGCCTTTAGGTGGAAGAGCCCAGTGTTGTGATAGTTTATAAAGTGAATCTTCCACTGCTGCTGTGCTCCTAACATTAGGTCACTCCCTCCTCCCTCCGGTGTGTTTCTCTGTGTCCCTTGTGGGAACATAGATGTCCATAGGCAGGCATAAAGGCACAGATCTATATACTTATTTAAGGAAACGGCAACCCACTCCAGTATTCTTGCCTGGGAAATCCCACAGACAGAGGAGCCTGGCGGATGGGCTACAGTTCATGGGGTTGCAAACAGTGGGACACAACTTAGTGACTAAACAATAACAATACATATATTTAGTGGTGGTGTTTTTAAAACTAATTTTGCCAAAACTTGTGTATACTTCCTTGATCTTGGCAGTTTCATTTGCCAATCATTCCACTGGCACACATAAGCCAACCTCACTCTTTTTCATTTATGCATCAGTGGTCTGTGAGTTGGCTGTGCCATAATGTCTACAACCATTTCATTATTGGCAGCCACTTAAGTTTCTTCCAGGGTTTCCCAATTGCTAAAAAGAGATGCAAAAAATATCCTCACATGTAAATTTTTGTGTGCTCATCCTTTGTTCTTTCAGCCATTATTTTTCTTTCTCGACTGTCCAAAAAAATATTTTAATTGCTGAGAAAAGTCATGCATCTATATGCTTGAGTCTGAAGTAAATTAGAAATAAGTTAATCTCTTATTTTCTCTTTTGACTTAAGATTTCAGAGAACTGTAATATCTGTTACAGTATCTGTACAGAACTGTACATCCATTCTGAAGATATCTGATTTCACTTTGGTTCTTGGGTTCCTAAGCCAAGTTCTATAGTTGACTCAACAACTGACCTTCACTAGTCATTTTGGTCGGAGAAGGCAATGGCAGCCCATTCCAGTGTTCTTGCCTGGAAAATTCCATGGACAAAGGAGCGTGGTAGGCTGCAGTCCATGGGGTCGCTAAGAGTTGGACATGAATGAGCGACTTCACTTTTAATTTTCACTTTCATGCGCTGGATAAGGAAATGGCAACCCACTCCAGTGTTCTTGCCTGGAGAATCCCAGGGATGGGGGAGCCTGGTGGGCTGCCATCTATGGGGTCACACAGTGTCGGACACAACTGAGGTGACTTAGCAGCAGCAGCAGTCATTTTGGTACGTGGATCATTTTTTAAAGTTAGCTGAGTCTTAAATTTGTCAGGAGGCAATCACTAGAGTTTTAAAAATATATAACTAACCCTCTTGTTTGGTAAATAAACAATAAAATAAAGAAACTTTGCCCAGGGTATGTGGTGGTGGCTTGGTCACTATGTCATGTCTGACTCTTGTGACCCCGTGGTCTCTGTAGCCTGCCAGGCTCCTCTGTGCATGGGATTCTCCAAGGTAAGGGATTGCCATGCCCTCTTCCAGGTAAGTGCATCTTACTAGATACATCTTAAGCATACTCAAGGAAGTGCGTCTGTGTGTATATATATAATATGAACATATATCATAAGTTTATGTAAGTATAAGATGAAGTAGAAAAGCATTGTTTTCCCACCAATGGTAGCCTACTATTCAAATTGGTCTGTATTCGTTTTTTTTTTTTTCCACTTAAGTATGTAGAAAGAGAATTATTTCATTTATTCATTTGCTTATTTATTTTTAATTTTGCCTGTGCTGGCTCTGTCTTGTGGCACGCGGACTCTCCAGTTGAAAAAATACTACCTAGGCATTCTAATGCCATAAAACTTGAATATGAGCAGTCAGCATCAACTAAACACAGCCGTTAGACCGGAAAGAGAGAAATCAAGATTCCTTTTGTGGACAGGACTCAGGCACATGTCCGGGCGCGGCTGTGGGTGGGGTCTTCCAGCGACGGCTGCTTGGAAGCAGCGTCAAACGTGCACGTGAGCCTGGAGCCCTGAGCCCTGCCAGCGTGACCTTCCAGCTTCCCGGGGAGCCTCCGGACCCGGCGGAGACCCTGATGCAGCAGGAACAGACGGTCCGCCGGGGAAAGGCTGGAGCTTGAGCTGGAGGCTGGCCAGTACCTGCCTGAAGCGGTGGTTCCGCTTCCGCAGCTCGTGGAGCGCCGTCTCGGCGTGGAGCGCCGTCTCGGCGTACAGCGCCTCCGCCCACCGTTCCCGGGCTCTTTTCTCCTGCGAGGAGCTCGCCTCGGCAGGAGAACGTGGCTCTCCCCAGCCCTGTGTTCTCTGCCATCTTCTCGTCGAGGCTGCTCTTCTGGCTGGCGCAGTCCAGGCTTCCGCACACGTGGGGACATCTCCTCCGTCTCCAGGCGGCGTGTTGCGGCCTCCGTTAGCTGCTTGGCCTGCCCCTGACATCATTCAGGCAGCATTTCAGGTTTCTGCCGAAGGTTCTGAATCTCCCTCTCCAGCTGTGCGTCTTCAGACCGCAAGGAGGCTTGCTCGGATTTGAGACGTTTTCTTTGTCCCACTCGCTCTTCATTGGTTTGATTTTTTTCATACACTTTTCCGGACATTTCTTCTTTTTCTTTCTTCTTCCTTTTAAAGGACACTTTTAAGTTAACAGCATGAGTGAGACCCTTCAGATCCGCTTCCGACAGGCCCCCTGGGGGACGCGCACTTTGTGCCTCTCTCTTTTCTCCCACTTCCAAGTTGCTCCTCTCAACGGGACCCTCTCTCGAGAGGTCAGGCCGATATCTGGTCTTCAGCGTAATTTCGACGAGTGACTTCAGCTGGCTCCTTTTATCACCCAGCAGCCGCTGCATTTGCGCGTTGGAGCGTTCCAGCACATCTTTTCGTCCGTTTAGGCCCTGTGTCCTGCGCCTCCATCCCTCCATTTCTCAGGAGAGCAGTTTGAGATGTTGCTTAAGATGACTGTTTTCATTCAAACCATCCCTTAGTTGGTCCTGGAGATGCCGCACCTGTTCCTGAGAGGCTTTCAAGATTTTTTTGCCTCGGTCCCCTGGAATTGGTGGGATTCCGCCAGGTCTCCAAGGGACCGTATCTGTCCTTGGAGACGAGCCATCATCAGCCCATGAAACGAAAGTTGGGAGGAGGGCTCACTTTTCTGTACTTTTTCAAGGAGGTCTTTCATGTCCTCAAGAGATGATCCACTTGGGTTTTTGTTGAGGGCCTCCAAGCACAGGATTTGTAAGGTGGGAGCACTGGCCACCACCACAGGCGTCTTGAGGGCTCCATAGGCTTGTGCCATGAGTCCAGTCTTCTCCCTGACTTTCCTGTAGACCTCAGCGTGGGCAGAACAGCTCTTGGCCAACTCTGCCTCTCTTCTTAGAGTGCTTCAGCTCTTGACTATGAAAAGCGCCATCACCGCTCACAGCGGGACCGCCCAAGGAAACCCCCAGGGACCTGGGACTCCTCTCAAGGCAGCAGAGACCAGCATGAGAGCATCCCACAGACCCAGCGGTGAAGACGTTCTGCAGACAGGCAGCAGGCCCTTGCTGATCCCACGGGCATCCCAGCTCTGCCTCTGATCTCCAGTGTCCATGGGCCATAACTGACCACACGGAACCCTGTGGGTACTCTGTCTCTGTGACAACCAGTTGCCTGGCAACGAGGGCGAACCACCCTTAGGGCTGAGTCTGGGGAGGTCCTGCAGGTTTTAGAAAGTCGCACTCCGTGACTGCCCTGCTCTCTGCACAGATCATGGTGACACCTGCACAGGACATTCAGGGAGTGGACGTGGTTACAGAGCAAAGCCAGGGGGTCACGCGGTGCCAGGCCCTACCCCCTTCTCTGCACACAGGAGCATGTCAGAGCGCAGTGAGCCCTAGATGATGTCTCCTGATCTCAACTTCCCTCTGCCTCAGGGAAGCCCAGGCTCGACTACAAAAGTCCCAGGGATATCTCTCCTCTAAGACTCACTCACTCACTCTGGCGTGTGGTAAGTGTTTGGGCAAGGACAGAGGACGGAAGGGTTTCCCCAGGTGGACTGTCTGTTGGGATTTCAACCGTGAGAACTCAGGAGGAATGAATCCCAAAAGGCAAGTTCATACAAGTTCATGGACTTTCTGGGGGTCCACCTAGTCAAGGCTATGGTTTTTCCTGTGGCCATGTATGGATGTGAGAATTAGACTATAAAGAAAGCTGAGCGCCAAAGAATTGATGCTTTTGAACTGTGGTGTTGGAGAAGATTCTTGAGAGTCCCTTGGACTGCAAAGAGATCCAGCCAGTCCATCCTAAAGGAAATCAGTCCTGAATGTTCATTAGAAGGACTGATGCTGAAGCTGAAACTCCAATACTTTGGCCACCTGATGCGAAGAGCTGACTCATTGGAAAAGACCCTGATGCTGGGAAGGATTGGAGACAGGAGGAGAAGGGGACGACAAAGGATGAGATGGCTGGATGGCATCACCGACTTGATGGACATGGGTTTGGGTGGACTCCGGGAGTTGGTGATGGACAGGGAGGCCTGGCATGCTTTGGTTCATGGGGTCGCAAAGAGTCAGACACAACTGAGCGACTGAACTGAACTGTACCTCCATTCAATCCAGGTGTTCCGCATGGGTTTGACTCAGGGACCCAGGCTCCTTCACAGCATGGCCCTGCCATCTCAGCTCAGGGCCCCCTGGGCTGCCCAGGGGACAGTCTCCAGTCCACTGAGGCATCAGCAGCCTGTGCCTCTGCAGACGGAGCGGGTTTGTTTCACCCCTTTCTACTTCTTGCAGCCCCATCTCCCTCCGCCAGTGCCTTTCCATAGTCAGGCTTAGAGCCTTATGGTCCGTCACCCAGGACTCTGCCACGAGCAGCCCGTGGAGGGTGCAAGCAGGAGGGTGACACGGTCTGACCGATGTTTGAGAAGGACTGGGGGGTGCGGGGTGGGGGTAGGGAGCTTCCCTGGTGGCTCAGTGGAAAGAATCCAAGCCAAGGCAATCCTGCCAAGGCAGGAGACATGGGTTTGATCCCTGGGTCGGGACGATCCCCTGGAGAAGGAAATGGCCACCCACTCCAGTATTCTTCCTGGAGAATCCCATGGACAGAGGAGCCTGGTGGGCTACAGTCCATGGGGTCACAAAGAGTTGAACACGACTTAGCAGTGAAACAACAGCAGCAAAAAGGTGGGGGGCAGAGTTGGAGAACGCATGGAACCCGGGCCCCCCGCACTGAGAGTGCAAGAGTCTCAGCCACTGGACTGCCAGCGAAACCCTTCTCCTGTTGATAGATAGGCAGTTTGGCAATATTTGCCGAAGTTAATCAGGTATCTTTGATCTTTGATCCAGGTATTCCATTTCTGGAAACTAAGCCAGCAGATAGTCTCATTGTTGTGAAAAATTTGTTATGTACCAGTTTATAATCTGCAGTAATATTTATTATATAATTAAAAACATGGTAGTTTTTTTTTTAACATTTCAAAAAAAGAAGAGTCTATGAAAGATGAAAAGCAGGAGAGTGCCCTGTTCAAGAAAGAAACTTCAGGATTTCCCTGGGGGTCCAGTGGTTAAGACTCTGAGCCCCCAGTACAGGGAGCCCTGGTTTGATCCCTGGTCAGGGATTTGGATCCTGTGTGCCGCAAGACCTGGCACAGCCAAATAAATAAATAGTTTAAAAGAAAGAAAGAGAGAGGGAGGAAGTAGTTTCCCAAATGATCCAGATTTTAAAAACACTTCCTGAAAAAGCTACTTTCCTTCTCTGAGCCTCAGTTTGTTCATCTATAGAATGGGTGTAATAGTCATGCCTCCTTACAGGGCCATGGTGGGGTTAAACACATTCAGGAAATGGTAGCTGCCGTGATGCTCACTGTTACGATGCTGATCATTATTTGTTACTTACTTATATCTTGGTTTTTGGATAAAGCATAAATGGTGGGTTCTTTGGTATGGCACAGAGTCAGAAGCCTGAAATGAGGAAACCACTATTGCTCAACTTCCTTGGACGTCAGAAATCCTCACCATTTCCTCTGGAAATATGAGTGTGGATGACATGTCACATACTAACAGCTGCAACATCTACCTCCCTGTTTCCTAAGTGGTCCAGTGACCTCCAGATTTCATTTAAGTTTTCTATTATTCTCTTCCGAAAAGGGACAGTGGAGCTCTTGTTCTAGCAGTTCTGGTGAGCCCAGAGGAGGAACTGGTCTTTATGAGGAGCACAAAAGAGTTGTTTTCCATACGTTAGTCTGTCGATTGTTTTCTTAATGCAAAGTTGGGTAGGGGAGTATAGACAGTGGGGGGAGAAAAAAAGATAACTTGTATCTATGGCTGGATGTCCACATTTGATAGGGATAAGTGGGATTTAATGTCACAGCTTTGCAAAGAAAAAGCCTGTGTGAGTAAGAAGCCCTAAATTGCCCAATCTCAGTTTGCACTGGCTTTTAACCATCACTCTGTCGGGTTTGGTTGTTTATTGGGTCACGGGAAGACAGAAGTGAGAGACAGCATGAGGAGTGGACTTTGTTGAGATGTTGGCTATTACTTCTGTCCCTTCAAAATAACACAAACACAATGAAACAAAAACCCTTGTGGGTTAAATCTGGAAAGCACAGTAAGAAGCGGCACAGCTGTAAATGGGGCGTTCTCAAATGGGCTCAGGCACGTTGTTTTAGGCTTTATTAACTTTTATGTCAAAAAGAACAAGCCATCAAAAGTTGGGGTTTTGTTGTTAGATTGCGAATTTTTATTTCAAACAAAACAGAAGAAAAAAATTTAAAAGCTGTCAGATAGATGCCTTGACTCCCTTCTGGGAAATAATTGTTCAAATTAATCCACTTTGGTTTTGTTGTTGTTTTTAAGCACCATCCACATAATAGCCAAGGGAACCTTTTAATTAATTTATTTATTTTGGCTGTGCTGGGTCTTCACGGCAGCGCAGGCTTCTCTAGTTGTGGCAGTCGGCGTAATTGCTCTGCTACATTTGGGATCTTGACAAGGATTCTGTCCCTGGGTCAGGGAGATCTCCTGGAGAAGGAAGTGGCAACCCACTCCAGAATTCTTGCCTGGAGAAGCCCACGGACAGAGGAGCCTGGTGGTCTACAGTCCATGGGGTCGCAAAGAGTCAGACACTGAGGTGACTGAGCACGCACGCACGTGATCCAAAGTACAGTTCCAATGTCACATTTTTTTCTAGATAGCCACCTTTTATTTCAGTAACTCATCTTCGCCTCTACAGATCTGAAAGGCAGTCTTTATCAAATACTAAATTCCCACTTGGACTTATTATCGAGGACTTCTGAGAAGCATATGTTGTGTGTATTTTAACTCACTAATTGCAAAGGGAAACTGTTTCCAAATCAGAATACACTAGAATTAAAGTGTTTCGGGGAATTCCCTGGCGGTCCAGTGGTTAGAGATCAGTGCTCTCACTGCCAGGCCCAGGCTTAATTGCTGGTCAGGGAGCTAAGATTCCAGAAGCTGTGAGGTGTGCCAAAAAAAGAAAACAAAGCCTTTTATATTCACTTTAGATGCTTGGGCGTGTGTGTGTGTGTGCGCACACGGTGTCCTTATGACTGTGAGCCCACTATGGTGTCTCATTTGTTTCGCCATGTCAAGGTTTAGAAATAGGTACATGACACCACTTTGGACAAAAAGATGAAGGGCCTTCAGCCGAGAGGCCTTCGGGGAGGGTTTTCCTCACCCTTAAAGAGGGCTGGAAGGCAGGGCTTTTCCTCTTGCCTCTGGAATCACGGTCTCCCTGGGTTAAGAACTCTGCAGCGGTCGTGGGGCCGTGGTGGGAGCGGCCCAGGAAGACAAGCTGTGGTTGGACCTGGAAGGGAGAACGGGGAAACCTGGCTCCCGCACTAAGTCACCTCCAC